TTTTTTTTCGGGGGGTTGTCAGATAAAATCTTGAGACCGTCTGCGCCAGAGCTGTATAAGATACGTTAAGTGACAAGAGGGGAGGGAGCATGCATACTGTTGTTGTTGCTTTTGTTGTTGTTGTTCTCTTCCTCCTCCGCCGCCAGCTGCTCTTGCAGGCGGTTGAAGGTTCGAGACTGCAGGTTTGGGTTGGTGTAGCCACGGTAGTCCGGAGTGTCCCCCTTCTGCTCCTCGTACACGGCGCTCTGGGCCGGCGTCATTGGCGCGGCTGGCAGGCCGGAAGAAGAGGTGGTGGAGGAGGAGGAGGAGCTACTACTAGCAGGGGGAGGGGCGTACGAGCTACTGCTACTACTACTGGGTTCGCTAGGTGCTGAGGAGGCGGGGTCATCCGCGGGGGAGGAGGAGTCTGGCCCACCTGCTCCTCCCACTCCCTGTGTTCCGACAGGCTCCGGCGTGGCTGCTACGGGTTGTCCGATGGGGTCCAGGGTGGTGCCGTTGGAGTGATCGTTAATGTCCATGCTACACACGGCCCAATCGCCATGCAAAAAGAGAGAGAGGTTGGGGAAGGGGTGTGGCCATGGGGAAATGGGCGGACCCAGAGGAGGGAGGAGAGAGCACAAAATGTCAGACATGGAGGTTTGATGGGACGGGTGAAAGTATGGAATATCAAAAAGCCATATCTTTGCTGTCCCGCCTGTAAGTTGTAAGCAAACTGTTCGGGCAATTAGGGATACAGTAGGAGCTTATGAGCGTGGAAAGGGGGGGAGGAAGAAAAGAAGCTTACCATTTACGACCAGCTTTTAGACTTCGTAGCTAAAACAATAACCTGAACATTACAGTTACAAAATTTTGTTTCTTGATAAAACTTAAAACAACTAAAATGGAGGACATTAATTCTCCACTTAATCATCAAATTCTACGAGATGAGAGGAAGAACAACTTCCATGGATATATATTTTTTATTTTTTTAAAAAATATATTATATTAATAAATTCCACAGAAAAACTACATCATCAGGACTTAAAAGCATTTTCTACAGCTAAACATCAAGTATAACATTCTGTACATAAAAAAAACCCCAACAACATATTACCATGCTGCATTTCATAAAACAAAAGGGTAATTATGTGCATTGACACCAGCTATGACAGTCTTTTTCGAAATTGTGGCCACCTTGGGAAAGTTTCAGCAAGCTAAGGGGGCTCTCGTGGCCTAGAGGTTAACGTGTTCGTCTCTCTTCATTAAATAGGTCCCGAGATTTTTCGTCGTTATCCGAGAAGGCTAGGTGTTTGATCTTACCTACCATAAGATTAGGATTGTGGATGAAAGACAACAGTGAGAAGGAGCCCATGAGTAGCAGTAGAAAGGCTGCAGAAAGAGTCAGGAGTCCAGAGGTGGG